TTTTGGGTCAAAACGCTTTTTCAAAGTCTGGTTTCCCCACGCATCGCGAACTTTTTCAAGGAACATATCCAATTTAACATCAATCTGCATGTTAGAACTTATATAATATAATCAGAACAAGTAGTCATTTCTAGCCGTTCTCTGTATCTACCTGCCATCGCTTCTTTCCAACGCATTTTTTTCGGAACTTGTACGTTATTCGGAATTACTTCCAAACTTGATGGAAAGCGGAATTCAATAACCAGCGGCATGTGGTCAGAGTATGATTTGTAAAGAACATGTAAAGAGCTTATGTATCTAAGTAACTGAAATGAACAGATACAGAAATCAACAACAGTTGACCCATTTGGACCCACATATGTAAATTCTCCATCTTCATCACCTCGACACCTGCCGTTAATTATAACACCACCGATGTCCTCCAGAAAGCCTAGAAGTTTTCTTCCCTTGGTATCAAGTTTCACATCTTTTGATACTCTTCTTACCGCAATAAGTGGAGAATCAGATAATAAATTACCATCAACTACTTGATTATCTACTACATGGGCATTTAAGTCGCCAACAATACAGTAAACGGGTTTATTAAAATCGTTTAAAAATTGTTCCAGCTTAGAAAAATCTTCCTCCCATTTTGTGCAATTTAAATAACGTGGAATGAAGAAACAATCAACTTTGTTAGCACAAGAATATAGTACAACATTATCACCAAAGTTTAGAAATTTAAAAGAATATATCTTCTCTAAACATTTTTATACCCATAAAGACAACCACCACTCGCTCTACCAGCATTATGAATTTTTGACGCTCCCACCCAACACAATATATAATCTTGAAAGAAATAAGTAAAGTTATTTTGGTTTTCGACCAGTACATGTGTTTCAAATAGAAAAAATATGTCATATAAGTTAACAAAAGTGAAAAAATTTTTATGATTAAATTTACTTTTTAAATTAGCTACGTTATAAGAAAGCCTTTAAATATAGTTATCTATTATTTATTATTTATTTTTTATTATTTATAAAATAATAATTATTATTTTATTATTATTTATTATTTATTTATATATTTATTATTATTTATTATTGTTACTCAGACTCTCTAGATTCTAGAAAATATGTATTTCATTATATTAAATACTAGTTGGTTTTGTCGTTTAAATTAGCTGGTTATGAAATACTCATCTTTTCGTTCTAGTTTTTTGAATAGATCAAAAAAAAAATTTCAATAGGTGATCAACTGATGGCCTCTTTTTTACTTTATATACCTTCCCATCCACTTCTTTAATTGCTGGTCAAATGTAAATCTAATCAGCTCACATCTTCATTAACTTCAAGGCATATATTGGTACTTACCAAGATTAATCAATTGCAAATCTAAATCAATTACATAAAAAATTAAAAGCCCATTTTATAAATTTTGTATATTTATTTTTATTTAATTAAAATCACTTTTTTCATTTGTTTACAACTACAAATAATAATTTCATTTCAATGAATTTCACATAAATGAGTTAAATTCTTTAATCTATGTTTTTTGTTTCTGTTTAATGTTTAATTTTCCTGTTTCTTTATAATTCAATATATCATTTAATGTATAATACAGTTTTCAAATGTGATAGAAAATGTAATATTCATATATGTAGTTACACATAAGTATATATTTATTTGTATATCTCAGTATTTATGCATAATTATTTGCATTTGTTTTATGTATAAAATAACAATGACAAAAAATACTTTATTGAATATTTAATAATGACCAAAAATTAATTAAATAAGCTGCACTGCACAATTATTTGTAAACAATTATGACAAATGTTTTGTGATTATTTGATATATTGTAAAAAATATTTAAAATAAAATAGAATAAAATAAAAGCACATAACGAAATGAATGCAGCTTAAAAATGTCTATCGCAAAGGATTACAGGATTTTATTTATAATTATATAAAATATAATTTTTATAAATTTTAATTATATATAATTACTTTTATTGTTGCAGCTGATTTAAAATATTTAAAAATAATAATTTTAACAATAACTAATATTTAAATATATACAAAAAATAATTAAAATAATAGGAAATTATATATAAAATTAAGGAAACATATTTTCTCACAAACAAAGAAAATATCTTAAATATTTCTTCATTTACTTTGAAAATAAATGTTATTTATTTATTAAAATTAACTCAGAATCTTCTGGCTAAAATATTCAATTATTAAAATTCTTTATTTTTATTTAAAACAAAAAATGAAAAATAAAAATATTTACAAGCGTTTTTTTTGTTTTGCTTTTGATTTAAAATAAACTTCATATATATACAAATATATTAATACATTTCCGTAACATAAAAATTAAAACAATAAAATTATTCAGTTTTCAGTTTTAAAATGATTGTTTACTTATTATTAAATCATTTTAAATATTTAATTTTTTATATTACAAAACTTATATTTTATTTATTTTATATATTGCTGTTTTAAATAATATATTTATAAAATGATTTCATTATTTTATAATTGTTTTCTATATACAAACGCCATCAGTCTTCATAACTCAAGGATTTCTAATTATGATAAATTTTTAATTTTATAATTATAAAATATATTTGTAAATATAATTTCCAAATAATTTTCTTAAATATTGATATAAATTTCATTATTTTACAAAAAATTAAAAATATATTTTTAATTAAATGAAATAATGAATTATATTTTTAAAACATCAATATAACAACAGAGCTGAAAAAATATTAAAATTATATTGATAATACATTAATACATAAAATTCATTTTTAACATAATTTATATAATAAACATTATATATAAATATATATGCATATATAATACGTTATAATTATTAAGTAATCGTTTTAATTTCAAAGGCACAGTTTTAAGTTAATGTTAATTTTTGTACATGATACACTGAAAAAATAGGCGAATTTAATGAATGTTTAAAAAAAATAAATGATAGAAATATAATAGAAATTATTTATGACTAATATTTTATTTGCAAGGAAATGTTATATATGAACATGAACGTATATATATGGACATATACGTATACTAGGTATATGTATATACATAATTATATACATATATATAAGTATATACGGTATAATTTATATATTTGACAAATAAAGATTCAGTATTTTGAAAAAGAACTAATTAAATAATAAATTAAAAAAATAAAAACCAATCGGAAATATGATAAATTAAAAATAATTTAAAAATTATAAAAAGTTTATAATAAAAAAAAAAAAATATTTAAAAAATAAAATTTCTTTCCCCTTCAAAATTTAACATACATATGTTATAAAAGATAAGTCAGACAGGTATCTCAGATGAAGAAGGTTTATTAAATTTTTAAATAATTGAACGAAAAATAATTCAAAATTCAAAATAATAGGGGCAATATAATAATAAAAAAAATTAAAGTTGTTAAAAAAAAAGTAAATAAACATGCATATAGTTATATATTTAAAAAATAAAAAATTTCATAAAAAAAATCTTTCTTAAATAATTATTATTTGTTCTTTCTAACTTTCTTTACTTTTCTCTCTCTTAAATGGAGTGGCTTTACTGTTTGTTATAATTCAGTAGTTTTAATTAAAAATCAGTAATTATATTAGTTATATTGCATAAATATAAGAACGATCTTAAGCCCAGAAAAAGAATGCGATGAAAAGTAGTAGTTTTTATATTATTGAACTGAATAAAATAATTAAATAAAATTAAAGTCAAGAATTTAAAATAAATGAATTTCACAAATGTTCAGATACATATTATAGAATTATATTAATTTCATATATTTCAGCATAATGATCCTGCATTAAAACCACAAAAAATATAGTACAGGAATTATAATAAAAGATATATTACGACCGCATACTATACAGTATTAATATTATTTATGTTTGTATTAAAAAAAAATTATATGTCAAAAATTAATAAAATCATTTAAATAAAAAACAGCAAAACTCAGAAAAATAAAAATATATTATCATATAATAAAACTTTGTTGGCTAATAAAATAAAATTGTCAATTAAAATAAAAAATAAAAACTTAAATTAAAAAAAAAGTAAAATCATTCTCCATTATTTATAAATAAAATAAAATTTCTTTAAATATAAGTTTTAACTTCAATTAAAAAAAACTAATAAAATAAAATTAAATATTAAATAAAATATGTATTAAAAAATATAATAAAAAAAAATTTTTTTTAAAAAAATTGTAAATAAAATATTAAAAATAATTTTTAAAAACCGTTTAAATAAAATATTAAAAAAAATTTATAAAAATGTTTAATATAAAACATTTAAAAAAAATTAAATAAACATTTTAAAAAAAATATTAAAAAAATTTTTTTTAAAGTAATTGACTATTAAAATAAATTGAAAAGATTTAAAATATCACTTGAAATAAATTTATAATTACTTTTAGAAAGAATAAAAAATGTTAATAGAAAATTAATTATTAAATAAAATAACTGAAACTGTTTATATATCAATTAGTTATGCCAAAAATCTAAAACACTGTATAAACATATACATAAAAAGCATTATAATATTATAAAAATCACTCAATAAAGAGGATAATAAATAAATAAAGATTTATTATCTTTCATAAGACAATAATAAGAAGATAAAGTTTATTAAAAAAAACATACCAAAGTGATCATAAAGAAGGTAACGACAAATGATGAAAAATAAATAGTTTAAAAGATAATACCATTTTTTTCAGTGTACAACTTAATCGAATTATCTATAATATTTTTGAGTGTATTTACCCTTCGCTCCACTCTTCTAGATTTCTGTTTAGTTTCTTATACAGTGTATAATGATATTATGTATATAAAAAGTAATAACGTAATTATTTAGTCTATGATATTAACTAACGCGACTTATAGTTATAATAGGTTTTTTTATATAAATTCTGTATATATGTTATTTATTATTTAATAGATTAACTACATATCATACAAAATAATATCTACTGTCTTAAGCATAATTTTTGTTGTATTTCGTATCTCATAAGTATCGCATTTGAGTATGAATTTTAGTTGAGCTATAAATACAAATTAGTAAAGTTCGAAGGCAGCCATTTTGAACGTGAAACTGATGAGGATTGTTTTTCTTTGCATTTCTTAGATATTGTTTTTACCAAAGCAGCACTAAATTGATTTGTACAGAGTGAATCTTTTTTTAGAATTCGGCTCACAGTCACCAAAGCACTTCATTACTGCCCACAGCTGTTTCCATATCACGTTCACGTTCACGTTCGGCATAGTCCCAAGCAGCACCATTACCACTGCTGACCGCCCAACTACCGGCAGTCCACCAGTTCGCCCGAAATCACCGTTCACTAGAATGCGTCGTTGAGCCCAAGCCACTGCCAAAGACATTGCGTCGAAAGAAACCCAAAGTATCGAGTGCTTTCATTGTGCGTCGGATCAACTCATCTTTATACTTCCAGATTGTTTTATCTTCCACTGAATTCTCGCGATACTCCTCACAGCTTTTCTTCAGCGTCTTAACACAATCGGCACGATAATGTTGCATTTGCGCATCCACCGTGTCGACAGGATACGATTTGCACACACCACCCAGACAAGCCAAAGGAAAATGGTTGTGCAGCGTTAGTACACGCTCAGGATTGTGGAAGCACTTCACATACTGATTAGGTTTTGTGTAGTTCTTAGCACGGTGCACATGTTGCAACATGTGCATATATTTTGGTATGTCCTTGTACCAGCCGTGCTCGTGCTGCAGATCATCTAGAAAGTATACATTACGAAAATTATAGCTGTGATACCCTTCAGGACGTATTTTTAATGATTCCGGTACCACTTTTTCCATCAACTCAGACCAGAGTACTGCATTGCCTTTCGGCATAATCACTTCATCAATATCGAGAAGCGCTATATAATCGTATAGGTACAGATTTTTATATAGACAATCATTGTATGGTATCACTTCATTTTGTCGCTTGTGATTTGTTTTTTTCGTTAGGTACAAATGTTGAAAACCTGGCACATTTGGTTGTCCACCAGGTAAAGTTAATGGTATTACTTGTACCTTACCTTCCTGTTCATAGTGACTCAACACTTTTGTTATGTTTGGATGCACTTGCAAATTGTAAAAGTAAATTTTATCCGCACCCAAAATATTTAACATTTCTATCCATTCAATCAGTCGCACCGATAGATCATCATACAGAAAATCTAAACCCTTGACGCATACTGCAAAACCTTTCTTTTGATCATCCGGCGGACGATTGTATATGACTCTTAGATTATTTGTTGCTGTATCACATTCCTTCTCCACCATTGATACCGAACTCGGCACAACGCCATGAAATGGTTTTGGTATCTGACACGCAATCAAGTATGGTTGATAGATGCCCTGCTTGTAGTTGCCCCATTTGTTGTACCAAATGTACTTGTACTCAAATGTCTTCACTATAAATGGCTCCTTCTGTCCATCAAACCAGAATTGACAGTATGTCTTCACATTCGGTTCGATGCGATCGATCATGCCAAGTATGCGTACAGTCGGGCCCAGCGCTGACGTTTTGCGTATGTCGTAATAGGCGCCAAATAATTGGAATGTGCCATTCGATGTGCGCATCGTCTGCCAGTAAATATTGTTGAATTCCAGCTCAAATATCGAAGGATACTTGGCACAAGTCGATGACTTTTGCTGCAGAAAATTCTTATTCTTGCTCCAATAGGCAATCGGTAATGATGGTATGCGTGATTCAACATCACGTACGAGCTGATCATCGTCCATTGCTGCATTGTCAGGCATAGGAATAGGAATAGAAGAGGGAAGAAAAAAGAAAATTAATTATGATCAGTTGATAACGAAACTTAAGCTAAGTAAGGCAGAGTATTTCAGCTGCATGCTTGGAATCCAATTACTATAGAATTCTTGCTAATTTGTATTTTTATTAATTTTTAATTGGCGTGAATTTTTGTTGCACTACAAGGTGAACGAGTATAGAAATCATTAAGAGAAAAATGTGTATAGTAGAAATAGAAAATTAAAGTAATTAATGTAAGAGGAATTTAAAAGAAAAATAGCTAAACATTTTTTTAAAGATAGGATTATATTAGAGTTATTCATTTGGATTCCATAACTACGGTTGCCTCTACTTTTACAATTTCCACAATCAATTAATTAATAATACACACCTGTACGATTATCCACTAGTATTTCTGAAGGATCGAAGCGATCAGTTGTCGTTGATGTGGTCTCGACATAACGCAGCATATCCCTCTGCAACAGGATACGCCCACTCAGCGGCACACCAACATATTCCTGCGGCACAATATTCGTGCCGTGCATCTTGAAAATTCCAATTATGACAAAGGACCAGACGCAAAGTGAAAATAGGATTTTCAAAATGATTTTCGGATTGGCCATTTTCGTCTCTTAACGGAACTGTGATGTTGTCTTATTATTGGTAGCGGAAGTTGCTGATAATTGACGAACAAAAAATCTTAATAAACAAATTTCACTTTCCGGTCGATGCTGCACAACTTGGTGTCGGCCATGAATACTGTTAAGTGCTGCAAGTAGACAGGAAGAAAGGACAAAAATCATTATTGGAAATATGATAAAAAATTATAATTGAGTTAAATTGCAAAGTGTTTACAAGTTTCGTAAATTGATTTGTTACTCCCAGTTTGCAAGCCATCGAACGGAATAAAGTTTGTTGCTAGTCAACAAACTTTGATGCTTCAAACTGGGGAGTAGTTGTCCTGGCAGACAGGAGTTGGGGTGCAACGGCAATACTTGCTTAACATATTGGAAAAAGTAATAAGCACGAATTTGAATAAGAAGTGGCAACAGTGTTTGCGCCATTTGTGAGTGAAATCCTGTTGTTGTTATTGTTATTGTTTGTTGTCATTTCCGTTGGCGGCGGCGGCCGTTTCCGGAGCTATTAACTAGGCGTCAATGTATAACAAACAGTATCCTTGCTTTTATTTTTTTTTTTGTTGTTTTTTCTTTTTTTTTGGTTTGGTGTGCTGTCAGTCAAATCAGTCAGTGGAGGTGAGTGGAGCCTTCAACATTGTCGACTTGAAAATTACTTGATATTTTTCATTGCATTTACTTCATTGAAAGCTTTTTGTAGGACTTGTAGTCCTTTTTTTTTGCTGTTTGTTGTATTTTGTGGCTTTATGTTTCCTACAGGATGAGTTGCTTGGCACATAATAATAACTCGTCTAATAACTTTGTCATGTTTTATTATATTCAAAGCTTTGTAAAGGCACAAAAAGCCGGGCGGCTTGTTAGGCAGGCTGATATGAGCATTTAGCATTTAGTGTATAATGTATAGACGGACGTTAGCAACGGACGGATGGACGAACGGATGGACAAACAAAAACTATAGCAGACATTTGCTGTCATAAAATTGTTAAGTGCTTAACAAGTACATAAAGAAAAGTGGTGGGTGGCCTGCACAAATGTGGAATGGTTGAGCTCGTTATGAGCGACAGGACAGCACAACAAGTGTTTAGTCTGATTGGTAGTGAGGATGCGGGGTGCTTAGAAATACAAATGAATAGGGTGACGTTATTATTTTAAAGGATAATGAAGGATTGGAAAGATTTAAAACAATTTTTTTTCGTAAAAGTAGTAGTAGTAGTAATGCTTAGACATTACCTAAGAAAAATTTTTTATTTGATACTTAGCAGAAATATGAAATGATGATAGAAAAATAAAATTTAAAAATAGAAGAAAAAAAAAGTGCTTCTATAACAACATCACTAATTTTAAAGTATCTAATTTTTTCCCCTTTAGTTAGTTTATTTTGTTGTTTAACAAGAAAATGTTTTTTAAAATACCAGGACATATATAACACATAAGTTCTTAAACAGTTAATAAAAAGTTGACTAATCGGTAGGCCGTAACAACCAGTGGTTTCTAAAACAGATTCATGGTAGACATTAAAAAGAAAGCTTATAGAATATAATAAAATAAAAATTAACACAGTACTGAGCTCTTAACTGAGGGATTCACCGCGTCATGAATAAGATGATCCAAGGAAGGCACTTAAGATTATATATTTATAGATTATGAAATGCGAAAGAATAAAATCGCTTCGAAATATGTACAGAGCATTTGAGATCATTCTGGCATTCCATATTTATGCGGAATAAGATTTTATAAGAATCAACTGTCAAAGCAGATATGAATATAATTTCATCCACTTCTTTACGGCAGAGAAAACAATCGTTCGAGTAAAACAATTCAAGGAATGCACTGAAGACTGTTATTGTAAGGACTATAAAATGTGAATAAAATCGTTTCGATATATGCATAGAGCATATGAGGCTATTTTAGAGGATATCTTGTAGCGGACTAAGATTTCATAGAAATGTAATGACAAACTAGATACAGATACACTTTCTCCACTACTTGCCGATTTGACAACGGATTAAAATTAATTTCTTAAAGCATGTTTTTCCCACCAACCTTTATGCCAATATATCATATGTATACAATATATATCCAAAATAGGATACTACACATTTCATCTGGCGCCAACTAATAAATGCAACTTTCTCATATAAAAACAAGTAATCAGGCTAAGGTTGCCGTATTTTGCACAACTGCTCAAACAATGACAGATACATTGTACTTCAAAATCTGATATCATAAAAATGAAATTTACTCTAGTCAATACAATCACAATTATATCTATATATATAAGTAAGTTACCTGTACTGAATAGATTATGAAAACACAACCAGACAAATTACTATTAACAATTGGTGATTTCTAATATAAAACAGTTGAAGCACATACCATATTGAGTAACCTAGCTATAGAAACTCGTTGATGTTTTTTAGACTAGCATACAAAAAAAAGTAACGTTTCCAGAAGTTTAAATTTACAATGCAGTGAAAGATAAAAAAAATTTGGATTTTCAGTAGAGTCAAGCACTTCTTCTTCTTTTTCTCTCTTACCCCTTCTCTGTCTCTTGCTATGCTTCTTTCTCTTACTCCTTTCACCTGTTTCTCTCTGTCTCTTTGAATTTCTCTTTCTCTCTCTCATTTTCCTTCTCTTACCCACTTTCTGTCTTTTACCACTTCTCTTTCTCTTACTCCCTCCATCTCCCATTCCCACTTTTTCTCACTCTCTCTCATTTATATATGCCTCTTTTTCTCTCTCTCCCTCTTTCTCCATTATCTCTCTCTTACCATCTCTCTGCTGCTACAGCTGTTGTTTATTCTTTCTTTGTCAATACCTTTTTCTGTATCTCTTTCTGTCTCTTTCTTCCCTATCTCACTCTTTCTATCTCTGCTGCTACAGCTGTTGTTTATCCTCTGTTTGTCAATGCTTTAAAATATTTTTGTTGTCTTGAAAGATAAGACAAATTTAATTCCAACACGGAAAAAATCAACCAAATCGACCAATTAAAAAAATTATTAATAAATAATTTTGTCAAAGTAAGCAGCTAATAATATACAAGGTCTTCTTTGATCATAATAGAAATCTGTTGTTCCTTCAACGAATAATAAGAAATATAATCAGACATGATGTTTATTGTACTGTAGCAAAGTAATTGTACAGAATTTAATTCTATGTATATTATTTGAATATCAATTTACTAAATTATAGAGAGTTAGGTCTGCATATCTCTAACATAAACATATTTTTTGAGGGGTTGTACTTTCAGTATTAATTAGTACCGAACATTTTATATATTTATCCGTAAAAACTATCTCCATGTTATATATTTAAGCCATTACACAACGTATGATCTAAATTCGATGGGATGGATATAGTGTGTATCTTAGGGGTTCTTGCGAGGAATGTGTTAACAAAACGGCGAAATATCGATAATTGAGGTATATGAAAAGTTATCTGATGGCCTGCCACTGCAACTAACGAACCAGCACAATAACATCTAACAAAAAAAAAAATAAACAAAAAATAAAAGAAATCTTAACACTTCAAATAATTTCTCTTGCCTTCTATACAAAACGCGGGTCATCAACATTCGTTCTGCAACTTATTTCCTCCTCAAAAAAAATGTGATTTGTAAATGAGATTCAATAGAAAAGTTTGCAAAAAATATTGCTGTTTATCTTATTCTGTTATAGTTTTTTTCTTCTATTATTTAAATTGAATTTAAATTCAAATTTCAAATTTCTTGACCGATTTCCGACTTGCGGTAATGCCATTTCTCATGGCATCACCTCGTAGGCAGAGATTCACCTAATTCAGTTTTTTTTTTCGTTCAGTTTCTACTTGCAATTTATCGGTTTCAGTTTATTGAATATTTATGTTTATAATTCGAATTTAATGTATTTTTGCAGGCTTTCATCTTTCGAGAAATTCAGCACGTATCTGGATTTAGGTCACTTTGCTATTTGCTATTTGCTATTTTTTTTCATGTACACTGGCTTTGTTGTTTATATTTTTGTTTTAATATCATTTGAAGACAAGTTTTTCTGTGGTATTTGCGCATGCGCAGCGGACCGCAGAACACACCTAAAATGTTTTATATGCTAATAAAATTTCCAAGTAACTTCCAGTTTTGGTATATCGATCTATGTTCTATTTTTTTAATAAGCTTTCGCCTCTGGTTTTATGGTTTTGTGTTATTTTTTCGACTTTCCTGACTTCTGATTACACACTAACCACCAGCCAAAACTGGTATTGACATTAATCTGCATTTGACTTGATAACTGATAATGTCCAATACTAACATTTTTACTAACGACCAGTTAAGAGCAATTTTTTAGGTATTTAATGACCGGTTTTAGCGTGTACGACATTCTTAAATAATTCATGACAAAATTTAAACATTTGAATAAAATTTAGGTGAGCTTCTTTCCATTTATGTACAAAACAAAATTATCTTAAATTTATTCTGTGGGCGTATTTTTGAAAAAAATTCTTAACTTTCAAAATGACTTAAACAATAGAAATGGTCATAAAATTATTTAAATATTTTCAAATAAGTAATTTGAATAATTTAGAATTATTTGTGAGAATGAGCTACTCTATATAATTAATAGTTTGTCACATAGATGTAAACAGATATAAACATAGATTGTCACAAAAGAAGCTGAATCGAAATGACTGTTTTTTTAATAAATCTCTAAGGTATATTTAAATAATGTAATGGCTCAGGACAAAACTATAAGTAATGAAGGACTCGACTGAATGGACGACAAGTTATGCAAACCAAATGATGATCTTCCATATGCGCCACTGACAAGAAATCTTAAGAGTACTCGTATTGCCATTTTTCAAATTCAAAAACTCCCCAACCCTTCTATGACTATTTTAAAAACAAAATGGAATCAAAAATATTGAAGTTAATATATTTGCTTACTGTTAACTATTTGCCAGGGTCCGAAAGTAAACCTGGCTAATACACACTTGTGACAGAGATTTTAATCAATAATTAATTTCAGTACATTATTTCGGGTTTGTTATTAAATAATCTGTACGGGTCTTTAACAGTGCTGAATTGACTTGAGAACTAACATTTGAAACCAAGCCATAATAAGACATTCTGTTAAAACCATACATCTTTCGATCACTTATA